TTAATTAGTTCTATCTCTGAATACACCATCATCTCAAGTTATTTAACTCTTTCTCTTATCTATTCTTATTTTGCTGGAGTACATTTTTATATCTTTTTAATGACTGCCTTGGTGTCTAAAAGGGGTGGAGGCCGGCCATTCCCTCCCCTCTAATTTACCGTCATACTTATTTGGGAGTAGCCATACCCAGGGCAGCGGGCATAGAGCGCTAGCCCGCTACAGCTCTATCAACTCTTGGCCTTCAAAACCAGTTTTAATGAAAGTCAAATACTAGCATAAACATTTAAAAGTAATGAGAATACGTATTTTTCTTTTGTTTGTTTCAATCTCAAAGTCGACATCTGAGTAACCATAATAAACAGGTTTTTTATTTCAAATGGATATTAGCATCTATTTGGTAGAATTTACCTTTTTTGCACTCGATCTAAATATTAGAAAATGATAAATTTCGATTATTCTTCATAAATGTCAAAACAAAGGTAAAAGTATAATAAAGGTGGTTAGGGGTTATAAACTGTGGTTTGAAATGATTTCTTTTGAATTCAAGCAAAAAAATTCTCGTAATCTTGTAAATAGCATTGACATACTTATTTTAAAAATTTTCTTTATGATTATGGTAAAACGTGAAGGTAAGAGGTGAGTAATATAAAAAAAAATTTCGACAATTTATTTTTTCTTTGACTTACTTTTATTCTTGTAAAACAAATTCTTTTCAACTCAGGCTTTCCTTGTCAATAAATAACAGTATTTTATCACAAATACTTATAGTTTAATGTATAAAACAAAAGAAACCATTTGCGGAAATCGTAAGATATTGACAGAAATTATTGTTGTAAATGTTTGATAATTTTCTTTATCATTCTTTTGACATCGTCCAAGTGTTAAAATCAAATTTCTTCAAATGTTTTTGTCCAATCATCGTGTCAAGAAATATTAATGAATTCAGTACTTCAAAGAGTGTATGTTATGCATAATAATATGTTACAAGATACATCAAACTAATTTACAAGATAAATCATGCAATCAAATCACTGCAAAATTTGAATCAAAGTTTTTCATTTTAGGACAAATGAAATTTCGGAAAAGAATTTGCATTTGATTAATTTATATGATTGGTCAAAGAATTACTTCCTTCAATGACAGTGAAACGTCAATATCCATGCAATGTTCATTCCTAAGGTATACAAAATAGGAGCACAGCAAACACGACCTCTGAAACATCAGAGGTCGGATTAGGTTCCATTGAGGAGTGAGCACCCCTGCAGATCGGTCACACCCGCCGTCGTCAATTCAGTATATAATGGACTAAAAATTAGTATGAAAAACTTCAATCAGCATTTGACTCAATGATGAATTGTATTTGTTGGCAAGGTCATTGTATCGAACAAAGAACTTACGAAATGATGACTTTAATTGAGACGACTGATATTGCTGTTTCCTCAACTTGTTTGTCAATAATTTACCTCGTTTTAGAAATTGTACATACAAAGAGCATGCTCTTGAGTATCGAATCAATCGAGAGATATAAACTCCGTATGCAGGTGATGAAGGTTTATTGCTGCATAAATATGGAAAGTTGACTATTGAAAAGTTAAAGTCATCACGTTTATCATAGGACTTGTTTGTTAGATTACCATTAAAGTCTTTTCGAGTAAAATATCCAAATATGAAACAGATGTGTCGGAGTCTGTGGTATCTTTTATGTCAAGCGATCTTTATCGTACCAACGCCTGTCGTAGCATGGGGTCTCCCCTAAGGTCTCATCCAAAAGACCCGCAACTTCCACTTCAAAGTGCCAAGCGCATGGCCAAGGAACAGTTGCTACTTTTCTTGAGTTAGGCTAGTTGCTGCTGAGATTCGAGCTCACGCCCTCCCGATCATGGAGCGAGCGCGAATTCTAAATGAAGATAATTCAATGTGTACCGCCACAGGTCAATTATTGGATGTCTCCTTTTTTTCAGAATGTGGCGATTAATATCTTAGCTCATAATAATTTGTTCAGAGCATCATGTAATATTGTCATTTTAGATATTTTTATTGATTTACTTTGGATGTTTGAAAAGATTTTTCTAAAAAATAGAATTCATTTAACCAATTTAAAACAACAAATTAATGATGAAAAGGAAATTGATAAGCCGAAATAAATACGCAATATGATTCAATTACTGACACATTATTATCATAACTTTAATTTCTAAATAATAGTTTTCTTGACTTTGTTTTGCCAATGAAATTCATAACATTCCATTCCATTATCAAGCGATTTTAAAAATCGCAGGTAATTTAAAAGAAGTCAATATATTCATGTTCAACCTGAATTACAAGTCGATATTGAAACAAGGGGAAAAAAATTTTTAAAATCTATTTTAAGGATATACGATCCACAGCCAGGAAGGATAACTCTTTAATTTATAATTTAATTCAAAAAGTATTAAAATAAGGAAAAAAATTTTTCAAAAATCAATACAAATGTTAAAAAAGTTGAGTACCTCATAAAATGAAGTAAAACTTGCAGTGCTTTTAATGCATGATTTGAAATTAGAAGTGATTTACAGTGTTTTCAAAAAACACTTCATACAAATGAAACAATGGAAGTAGTTGAAAAATTGTAAAATTTTTTTCTTTAAAAGCCTGGATACCTATGATTTTTATTCCTAAAATGTATTTCTTGATCAATTATCAATTAAAAAATATGCAGTAGGTAGTTCAAATCGCATTTCCTGAAAAATTATTCGAGATTTAAATTTTCCCTATATAAATGATTAAATTTAAAGATGAAAAAGAAACACCGTGGGGAAATACATTTTAATTTGAGAATTTAGAGACAATTTTCATAACTACAAATAATTTTCAGGGAGGCCTTAAAAAAAGACAATTAACAGTGCTTTTAATGAATGATGAGTCGTGAAGTGACATTGTTCACAAATAAATAAATAAAAAAAAAACATAAAAATACATTTAGAAACAATTTCACTACAAATAACAAGGAGGCCTTCCTTTTGATTAGCGTGTGACACAACGCAAAACCGATTTTTTTTCAATTTCCTGACAAAAAAATATTCATATGTCAAGAAAATTATCTGTAAATACATGTTTACACACAAGGTAAAACAATTATATCATTACCAACTAAAAACACTTAATATTTTTTATGTAAATATATAATCATTCTATAGTTGAAAAATGATTCTTTAAATCGGATTGTAAGAGAATATTTCTAATATTGAAACATTATCACTTATGATTAAAATATAAAATGCATGTTGACATCTTGTGTAAAACAAGAAGCAATATAAAGACGATATATCCTTCTGTTTTCACTAATTCAGATGTGAAAAAAGGATGAAGTAGAAAGCAAGATGATATATACCGATCCCAGCTGAAAATGCAGATTACAGTTGCAAATTAAAAATGCAGATTTACTGCCTCGTGTGTTTTAACTTGTACTGTTAATGCGTTTTAGAGGAACTGAGATTAATTTTGTAAATGGTAATCCAAATTATGCTCCTAGTTTCTCTTCTTTCGTGTACTAAATTTTAAATTTACTAGGCGGGAGTCAAAACGGAATTTTAAAACATTGCAATATTTTTCCCATTCAGTAAATTCAAAGTTAAGAACATGAGAATTCCTAAGGATGAAATTCTGTAATTTCTTTTGCCAACTTTAAATTTTTAATATCCATAGCCTAAAAACTTGATATTGAAACGCCAGACTGGGTACCTAAACTTCATTAAATTCTTTCAAACATAGCTGGATCCAACTTAAAACTCGTTTAACTAACTTAATACAACAAATTAAGGATGAAAAGGAAATGGATAAACCGAAATGATTACTAGTATGATATAATTATTGCCACGTTATAATCATAACTTTAATTTCTAATAAATGGTTTTTAAGTTTGTTTTGCCAATGAAATTCATAAAATTCCATTATCAAGTGATTTAAAAAATCGCCAGTAGATATTCGATACAAGCAGATTTTTTAAAAGAAGACAATATATTCATGTTCCAACCTAAATTCCAAGTCGATATTGATACAAGGAAAAACAGAAAACAATTAACAGTGCTTTTAATGAATGATGAATGTCATTCAAAAAATTCAACAAACAATTTGTTGAAGTTAATGATTTTTATTTCTTATTGTTCTTCTCACAAATAAATAAAAGAACAAACAAACATAAAAATACATCTAGAAACAATTTCACTACAAGTAACAAGGAGGCCTTCCTCTTGATTTAGTGTGTGCCACAACTCAAAACCGATTTTTTTTTTCAATTTCCTGACAAATGAAAAATCATATGTCAAGAAAATTATCTGTAAATCTATGTTTACATAAAATTCTGGTAATACTATTATACCATTACCAACTAAAATAATCTAATATTATTTATATAAATATATTGTCATTCTATTGTCGAAAAATGATTCTTTAAATCAGATTGTAAGTGCATTTACTTCGTTATTTTGCTATGGTAGAAAATACCAGTAACTTAAAGCAATATGAGCTGTATCTTTGAGAATTTTATTTTGCTGGTAAAATGTGCTATTATGATTAATTTGTATGTAATTTAAACCCTTTTGACCAATAAGCCCAAAAGAAAGTTTAAAAATGTTTCAGAAGAAATATTTCTGTACAACCAAATATACAGTTTTATATAAGAAATCATTATTGTACAAGACGACAATGATTCAATTTTGCTTCAATCAAAGCTAACAAAAAAAATTCCATCTCAAATATGAACAACAGAAGTTTATAAATGATTTATTTTTCTGTCATTAAATTCGGTAATTACAAATTCGCAATAAAATTTTCCGATGTCAAACATGCAGCTCATATTGCTTGAAAATTAAGGTACATTTGTTCAGCAAGTTACACGCAAACAACATACGGTAAATTATTTTTTAGCAATTTCACAGAACTTCGATGTAAATCAATGAATTCAAAAAGAAAAAAAAATTAAGACAGAAGGTCTAAATGGATTTTAAAAACCTCACCTCGTATACACACAATAGTCAACAAATAGAATTCATTTAAATAAAAAAAAAAAAATAAGTTATATTATGACATATGTTACCACTACAGGTGCTGCAAATTTTAAATCTGTCATCAGAATACTATTTTTTTCACTTAAAACCAAACAAATTAAACAGTTGGAGAAATTTTGATCTACTGGAATTTTCATTTTCGGATACTTTATCATTGCGATTTTGCAGTGGTTTTGATTTCTTTGATATAGTGGATAATGTGCACTTGATGTCTGCCATAAAACTTAAAACGGGGAACATTTCTTTCATTTTGTTGAGATATTTCACAAGTTCAAACGTATTGTAAGTACATTTTATCGGATTATTTCTTAAATCAATAATCACAGGAACTTGTCCATCGATGTAAGAAGCTATATTTCTAGGTACATCAGTTATTCTGTTATGCTGTAGATTTACAAAAATTATTTTTCGACGCCCAGATACACCTGGCTTCTCGAAAGCAAAATTTCGAAGAAGGTTTTTTGACAAATCGAGAATTTCTAAGGCTGGAAAATGTTTGTGCCATTGCTTAAGGTGCCTCGGCAAATGAGTCAAAAGATTTGAAGAAAAATTGAATGTCTTCAGGTTTGGATAATCTGAAATATCTGTCATAACGTCAAAATGAATGGAAGAAACACTGTCACTCTGTGATTCTTCCATATGGAATAAGCTGTGGTAATTACAAGCATTTTCACGATTCCTCGACTGTCGACGCATAGCTGAGAACGCTCTGTCTAGATCTTTAAGGGGAGGAGGGGACGAGGTAGGTAGAAAGGAAAACGAAATATTCCTCATCACGTGACTCCTGACCGTCTGCTGGCCACAGTTGTAGGATTTTGATACCCGGGTAAGCAGAGTCCTTTGAATGTTTGAATTAACATCAGTTTCTATGGTGCAGTCAATCATTGAAATATCAGTAAGGGTATCCGGATATATTGGGTCTTTATTATATTCGGAAAAGTATCCTTTAATGTTACAATTCTTCATATGAAACTTTTTAAGACCACGAGCTCTCATAGGCCACGGAAGGTAAACGGAGCCGCTACCAAGGCATTGGAGGTTCAGCTCAACATGCTTTACCGGACTTTTTAAGGAATCCAGCCACGATCTAAAGTACACAAAGTTCCACTGATCATGTATGGTAAATGAACAAAAAATGTAACCTTTTACGGGGCTATAACAGCTCCTTATTCGTTGCATTGACGTCACTGTCCATGTCAAACTAGCCACAGTGAGAATTGTTAGGAAAAACTTGTTTTTGCAATGTGAAGCCATAGTTGTTTTGACTTCGGCTCGCTTTGGAACAAATTGTTATCAATGTATACATTCCATGTTTTAGCATCATGTTTTATAAGAGACTTGCAGGGTGTGTATTACGGACATTTCCGTGCAGGAGGGTCTGTGGTTAACGGTAGAGTTTACCAATCATGACATTTTTAACTCGGTCCTTGTTTATAATTTAGAAGTATGTCAAGCACTGAATTGTTCTGAACACTTGGAACAAGGATGTCTATTCGCTGATTCAGGATCGTGAATGCTAATTGAGTAGCAATATTCTGATGTTTGTGGTTTGGCAATGAAGCTCAAAATATGCTTTTTGCATAAAATAAAATGATAAGAGGTAGCATTCCACGTAAAAAATAATCAAAATAGTTTTTGCGTTCATGAATATTGCTTTTTAAAACGTTAAAATCCCTTCCTTTATCAAATGCAATAGTCTAAAAATAAAATATTTTTGCATAAATTATTTATTAGATTTTTTTAATCATATTTAATTCAAATTAGAATATTCTTCAAATTTATATGATTCTGCAGAATTTTTTAAAGAAATGAGATTTTGATAGTTTATGAAGCACTCGCTAATTGCGACTGATGATTTCCTATGAAACTCAAAAACTTATCATTCAAACTATTTCTTGCTTCCGACTTGCTGATGAATTAATGCAAAAAGATTTCTAGAGAAACATTTTCAAGAACGTGGAATCCTGTGACCGATTAATCAAAACTAAATACAGCAACCCATAACTTGTCTCCTTGCATTAAATAAGGAAAGCGGAAATGCAGAAGAAATTTCATATATGGATAGCTGAAACATCATGTGATACATAGGATGCATTCTGATTAGTTGTGAATTTAAATATTCGATAAAAAGGTCGCGTCGAACGTCACAGATCAGGATGAAGTTACAAATTATA